TCTTGGGCAGGATAGCGGTGAATTCGTCCAGTTGGGATGACTACCTCTTGATTTGGTTCTTGATTCTCTATAAAAATATAATTATGAGTACTGAAAAGGGTTACCAAATCAAAGCTCTTATTCTGACTCCATCTATAGATGAAACAAGCAGATGTCTGTCAACCCCTGCGAAACTGTGAAAATCCCCTGCACCAGGAGGAGAAAATTGGACGATCTAACGACACTTTCCCTCAATGGTGAGATCATTGGTACAGAGGTCTGTTGGTTGATCCTGGAAGTCACAGCATCCAGGAAATGACCTCTGAATTCATGCCTCCAATTGTCAACTTTGAACTGCCTTATGAAGTACTGTTTCCGAGTAGAGAGGACTGGATCCTCCGGGAGAAGGAAATATCAGGAGCAGATAGTTGTTGGTTCACATGAGGATTAAATACCGTACGGTTCTGGTGCAGGTGTTTTCAGTCTCAGACCCAGGACAGAGATATCAACCTGCCTAAGAACCTATGCGACTGTATTTCAAGCGCAAATTCACGATATTGAATAGTGAGCGGAGAGATTGGAATGATCCAGCCTCAAACACAAGTCAATACAAATATTCTCGGACAAACAAGCGGCGTTGGAAGCTCTTGGCTTCTACCGAGAACCGTTCAACCTGGTAGTAAATTGCCAAAAACGACTATCTTCGATAGAAAGACTTAACCGATTATCGCTGGTGTGGATTCCCAGCCATACTGACCTGGAAGGCAATGAGGTTGCTCACTCCGTTGCAAAGGAAGGTGCTGCAAGCAGCCTCATCGGGTCAGAACCTGTCATTGGCACCGCTTTAGGCTTTGCCAAACAAAGATTCAACACCTGGATGGTAGGAAGATTCATGAACTTCTGACAGAATCTTCCAGAATTGGCTCACTTCGAGGCGTTTATTCACCCTTCGAAGCTTGATACTAAACAGTTGTTGGACAACAGTAGGGATGAACTACGATGTCTAACAGGCCTTCTTACAGGTCACTGTCATTTGAATCATCATATGCAAAGACTCGAACTGTCAAAAAACAGTGTGTTTTGCCTCTGTTTGGAAAAGAGAATAGAAAGGAATATAATAGAAATTCATTTATACTGAACAACGAACAGAATGGTTTCCACTTACATGATGTACACTTTTTTCAAAAGTTCCTTACATATAGTATTCATTGAATACCATTGATACAGTTAAAATCTATGTAAAATATCACAATGCAAAACAGTAAATAATAAAATGGCCGTAAAAAGATTCAGACACATTTGAGTATTCGGAGGAGTTGTCTCTCTGTGATACTGAATATATCCAGTTCACAGTTCCTTGTCATTTTGTTGACTGTTTCGAAACATTGTTGAACAGGAGACAAATTGTTTGAGATACGAAATAGATTGTCTCTTCTTCTCAGTCTTCCGTCAGGTACAATAAAATCAATATTATAGAGAATTTCAGGTACTTTCAGTTTTCTAAGAAGGTTAAAAACAAAAATTACATCCAAGGACACACGACGGTCTTTCATTGTTTGCACATGCAACCATTGAAAAAGAGTGTTCTCAATAATCGTTTCTGGACTTTTTCTATAGTTTCAGAATATAATAAGGTCTTTGGATTCCAAACGACACAACCATATTCCAGCTTAGAACGAACAATGGAGTTGAAGAGTAATAGACAAGTATCGTGATTGAATTCACTAATAGATCTTAAAATAAAGCTCATTTTTCTATAACATTCAGATACTAAGTATTCAATGTGCCCAGAGAAACTGAAGATACCAGTAAAAATGATCCCGAGATATTTCATCTCGTTGATTCTCTGTAAATTGGTATGATTAATGAAATAGTCCTTGATAATAGGTGACTTCTTTCGTGTGAAACTCATTATTTCGCATTTAGCTACGTTGAGAGATAGGTCACATACTGAAAAGTAAGTAGATAGATTATTGAGATCATCTTGAAGCATATCGGAATCTTTTTCGCTTTCAATTCTTCTAAACAGCTTGAGGTCATCGGCATATAGGAGAAATTGAAAATGCCCGATATACCGAGAAATGTCATTAACAAATAACACGAAAAGGAGAGGACCCACAATCGCGCCCTGCGGAACTCCCGAAGTAGCGGTGAATTTGAAAGAAAATATGTTGTTAAACTGTACGAACTGTTTTCTGTTGGATAGACAGCAGTGAAAGAAATCAAGTGTGTTGTTTGTGAAACCGAATGCTTTTAATTTCAGGATCAAAACCTCATGGTGAACTCTGTCGAATGCCTTGGCCAGGTCAGTGTATATAACGTCTATTTGATCGCCATTTTTTATTCCACCCGTAACAAAGTTACTAAATGCGCATACATTGGTAATGGTAGATTTATTACGAATAAAGCCATGCTGTTGGTCGATTATTACTGAGTCCACGTGATTGTGTACTCGATCATATATTACCCTTTCAAATATCTTCGACAAAGCTGGTAAGACTGTTATAGGTCTGTAGTTGTTGTTCTTATTGCCGTTTTTGTGTATGGGGTAACTTTGCCAATTTTGAGAAAGCTTGGAGAACGATTTCCTTTCAGAGAAAGATTGAATATCAATGTCAGTGGTCTTTGAAAAGTCACAGTAAGCCTTGAAGAAGTAGGCTGGATGGAACAGACACCTTTACTTTGGACCTAAACCAACCTTATCTACAGAAGTTTCTAGAAAGGCTGTACACCTCTTCAATACTTGTCACTCTACACCAACTCTAATACACTGACAGAAGACACTTCAATCATACCAACACAACAAGAAACAGGGTTGACTTCGGAGTTTTCATAGGGTTTTGAATTAATGAATTGACAAAAATAGTGTCATTATTCCAAAATTGTCCACTCTTTCCAACGACGGCCCTAACAGGAAATATAGTGCCTTACCCTAGTGTTTTATGCACTAAATCTTAAAACTTTTGATTTCAATCTCATTTCCAGAAACTCCAGACTTTTGTTTTACACTCCTCCAAATAGATTTCTCTGATTCTTGTGATCTGGAACTCTGACAGTCTTCAGCAGTAGCCACCTCAGTCCGCTAGACATCTCCAAGATGATCTCCTTGTTGTGTCCAATCCATTTCTGTTTTTATGCTAATGGTGGTTCTTATGTTTTTTGTGGTCGTATATGCTCTTCATGATTTTGCTATCTAACGTTTTGGCCTTGATACTTTTTTCAGCTACACGTTTTCATGTTCAGATTTAATATCCAACGTTTCGTCTTCTGGCAATCATCGTCAACTTTTGTTTCTATTGAGGGCGCCATAATGTTTTTTCATATAGAAAAATAGTGCTTTTCATTCTGATTTCATTGATGTATAATTTGTTATGATTTGCTCTTCTGAAACTACAGGTATCGAAAAAAAACCACATCCTCTAAGATGGTTATGATTCCATCGAAAAGTTTTGTTTAATAAACACTAGTTGTCACAACTCATCAAATATCATAGGTTTGCACAAATACTTCAGTCGAAATGTCCTCATTCTCAAATGAAGGAAAATAAGATATGTTGAAACTTCATTATAAATTTGATAGGAATAGTACGAAAACAGTACAAATTTATTTTGAATTTGCCGGATATATCATTATTTGGTATTTTAGATAAACACTTAGCTTAGTACGGCGCGAAAAAAAGTTGATGATGATTGCCAGTAGACGAAACGTCGGATAGTGAATCAGAACATGAAAACGTGTAGCTGAACAAAAGTATAAATGAAAATGTGTTTTTGGTTTTGAGCTATGCTGTCAAATAACTCTAGAAAAAAATAAAAAGGAAAATTCCGATTTTCAGTGTTTTCCGGATATTTCCGGCAATACTCGGAATTTTACAAGTTTCGATACAGTATTTTGTCAACCACAAAAAAGCAACTTTGTCCCAATTTAAGCCTCGACGTATTTCCTGTAGTTATACATATCGAGTGGTCCAACGAGAAGTATGCACCTTGCTTTTCTCCTTTTTTTGTAACTTAACGCAAAAATNAAGTTTAACAATTTCAACTCGTTCAGGAATGGAATAAACCATTTTTACAATAAAGTTGAAATAATTTCAAAAGTAACCGAACTGAATCAATGAACGTTTGCCTAAATTTTTTTTGTACACTCATCTGCTGTTGTTATTTGAACCAAAAAATGCACGAGAGAAATTGAGGAATGTAGTAGTAGTGATTAAAATGCCGTTTTTTCCGTATTTTCATTAACACCAAAAACATCGAGTAAATGTTCTTGCTTTTTTTATAACTATCCAAGTAAATACAACGAATTAAGTATCATTGGAAAGATAATTTTGTGCCCTTTCGAATGATATATCACTCGACCCCATTTTCCATTCAAAATTTTAGGGTTGTTACTGACCCTCGCTAGGGGGTTGAAGGCACAGGTAGAAAAATACATCTAAAATGTGTCCCTATCAAAAGTAAAATTGACCTGTCCGAGCATTTTTGCGTTAAGTTACAAAAAAAGGAGAAAAGCAAGTTGCATACTTTTCGTTGGACCACTCTGTATATGGCGAACAGTACAATTTTTTCAGTTGGCTGTGTGAGTTACCTCCATAATAATTGTTTATGGTTATTATTATGAACTCAGTTTTGGTCAATGTGGTAAAAATAATGAACACAGCGTGAGAACTCATCATAAGTGGAAATTAAAACGTCATTGCTTTCGAAAAAACAGGTGAATTGATTTTCTAGACCTAATGAAATGAAATGTTTTCCTGATACTTCACGAAATTCTTATCTATAACGATGTATTTTAGACTCCAAGCCACATGATTCATTACAATTCATTATGTTCAAGTTCCTGGAAAATTATTTACATGGTTGATTCATGATATGACATGGAAACAAATAATTCACCTATTTTAACTAGGTACATTGTTGTTTAATAAGTATTCTGGAAAGGATATAATATCAATACGATATAGGAAAGTCATTATAAAAATTGGATAATTATTTGAAGAAGTATATAACCGATACTTCACCTTCGAGTTTGCAGAATTTACATCGAACCTTGTTTATCAGTTCATACACGAGTTTATCATAGGTTTGAATCACGGAAGAATTGTTAGAAGCATTGAACGTTTCATTCGTAATTACCTTTGATAACGACCATTCTCATTGTTTGGGTATAAATTTATTTACAGTTCGCACAGATCCATACGTGTTTTTATGAAGTCAAGAATGAGTTCACGAATAATAGAACTATCTTTGTTCATTGTTATAGTTGCAGCAAGTGACAATAAGTATTGTCAGTTTTCTTGTAATGGATCGGCGCATACTGTATGTAACAGAGAAAAAGAGGTAAGATTTTATTTATTATCTTTCTAAAAACTCCGTAACTGAGGAAATTAAGCAAACTATTTTGATGATTTCTATTTCCGCAAATGCCACGAATTGGAGGTGATCGAACATAGAATTCTTTCGAAAATATTATTCTGCCTGGAACCCTGTATTAAAAATAATATTGTGGTGTCCAACCTCATGTAATGATTTTCCGAAAGACGACAGAAGCCTTGTAAATGTAGAAAGCAGTAATTCTCCGCTGTTCACGTCTTCTAAACAGTAGCATGCTTTCGGTCATTAACTTCGATTTTTTTACCATCACATTGAATGTTTATTCCCAAGTGTAAATCATTTTTGAATTCCTCGTTCAATTATGTACAAGAGAGTTTTTTCTGTAATATGACGATTCTGAGACAAGATATCAAAACCTTTGTATTGTCCAAAAATTATGGAAGAACTGTAATAAATTCAATTTCACTTCAGCTTTTGATTCAATACGCAATAAATCTAGTTGCCCGGAAATGTGTCACCTGCTTTTTATATCTGACATCTCTACTATCCTACTTCCTACTTAATATTATAAATGCGAATGTAAGTTTGTTTGTTACGGTTCCACGCGAAAACTACTCAACTGATCATCATGAAATTTTGTACACACATTCTTGGAGGTATTAGAAGTAACATAGGACACTTTTTATAAAAAAGATATTTGAGATAAAAAAATTGTTCGTCAAAAAATCTCAAAATCTAGCTACTTTAAGGTCACCTAGCATTCCAGTAGTGAAGTTAGGTTAGGTTATGTTAGGTTAGGTTAGGTTAGGTTAGGTTAGGTTAGGTTAGGTTAGGTTAGGTTCGGTTAGGTTAAGTTAGGTTAGGTTAGGTTAGGTTAGGTTAGGTTAGGTTAGGTTAGGTTATGTTATGTTAGGTTAGTTTGAAGGTGATTGACAATGTTTCATGATGTTCGGACTCCCATTGTCTATTATATAAAATGATTTGAAATCCCTGAAACAAACAAGTATTAAATTGAAGTTCTCATATTGATTTATTTCTATCGTACTGACACTTATTTAAAGTTATAAATGCGACCAAAGCCGCGGGTGAAAGCTTGTGTCTTATAAATGTATATCATTCAAATCTATTCGCTTTTGAATCATCTTTTTTATTATTACGTTTTTGTGATTGGCAAATATGTACGAGAATTACTTATACGGCATAACCGACGGAAATAGAAAGCAGCTGGTCGCATTTATAACCAGATATATCCAAATCGTGTTTTGCTCGATAGTCGAACCGTTTTCAATCTCAATCTCAGTCTTGTGGAATCTAGTACTTCTCGGATAGGAAAATCTGAAGGAAAACATCAAAGCGTAAGGATCGCTGAAATTAAAGTAGTGGTGGCACCGAAAAATAAAGAACTTCCTGAAACAAGTACAAGTACGACGAAGATTGCTAGACAGTTCAGATACTATCAGAGAAGTATTATCTTTCGTCAGTGGTACTTAAAAATATGCAAAATCCGCAATTTGAATCGCATATTCTGTTTCACAACAATGATTAATTAGCGAATGAAAATCTCTTCATAACATAAACCCATTTTCAACACCAAACACCAACTTTCCGTTGACGTATGGGCAAGAATAGCTGCGAACTTAGGCTGATTGAAAGCAAAGAACTTCACAATCAGAGAATTAGGGATAAACTGCTTGCCAATCCCAATGGGTCGAGATCATTCTGGTCGGTAGCTAAAGCTGTCAATCAGAACTTCACAAAATCCACGATTCCACCACTAACACAAGCGGATGGTTGAATTGCAACAATAGCTATAGAAAAAGCAAATCTACCAGCTGAACACTTTGGGTCCCACTCCACAGTCGATTATCTGGAAAAGGCACTACCTACTATTCCAACAAAAGAATCCATAATGCTGAAAATTACCTTTCGACAGCGTCTAGTATGGCGAATTTTGAAACAACTGAATATTACCAAGGCGTCTGGACCTGATAAAGTGCTCCTCATCGTACTTGAAAAGTGCGCAAATGAACTCGCACCAGTATTTTGCAGACTTTTCAACCTGTATTACAAAAAAGGGGTCTTTCCTTCTTGTTGGAAAATTGATCGCGTACAGCCTATTCCCAAAAAGGGCAACAAAAGTCTTCCAAGTAGCTATAGACCAGTCGCTTTACTGTCAGTGATATAAAAAATCATGGAGTAAGTCGTAATCCACCATATCCTCAAATATTTGAAAGGCTTCAACATCTTGAGGGATCATCAATATGGCTTTCGGAAACAAAGATCAACAGGCGTACTTCTATCATATGTCACCATTATTTGGTATAACGCAATCGAAAAACATGGTGAAGAGCTGTTGCGCTTGATATTTCTAAGGCCTTTAACCGTGTGCGGCATGAGGATTTGCTGGCCAAACTTTGATGCTATGGCTTGTCGGATCATTTTGGTATATGGCTCTTCAGGTTTCTAAAAGAACGTTCCCTGCAAGTGGCCGCCGATGGATATCTCTCGAAAATATACACCATCAACACTGGTATTCCCCAGAGATCCGTATTGTCTCCTGCCCTCTTTTCATTGCATATCAACGACTCATTGAAAAAAAACAAAGAACCAATATATTACTTTGCTGACGACAACACAGTTGGCTCGTCATTTAATTTGGATTCCAGGACATCGGCTACGGAGGCAAATCTTCACCGGCAGCAGGAGGTTGCACATTTTAATGAGGATCTAGAAGTGATTACGAATTTGGGTGAAAGTAACCAAGTTCCATTCAAACCCATGCATTGGTTTTATCCGAAATGATAAATGTCTCCGAACCAGATATGGTAATGTCAGATCTGACAATTCCGCTCTCTGCTTCCATAAGTTTGTTGGGGGCTAAAATGGACACCAATGATGTCTTGGCACAATCACGTCGCTGAAATTGCAAAGGCTGCTTATCGAAAGCTTGGAACACTGTTCCGAACCAGAAAACTATATATACCTCAACAACTTTTGATGATTTATAAAGCTCCGATTAGACCTTCTTTGGAGTATTGTTCTCATGTATAGAGCTCTGCCTCCAAACATACCCTGAAGTTGCTGGATTCCATCCAGAAAAGAGCCATCCACCTGAATGGAGACGCGAATATTACGTGGAACCTTGATAGATAGATAGATAGATTTATTGAAATTTTCAAATTGAACATATGAAAACTTAAGTCAGTAAGAGCGCCCGTACACCAGCCACATTTTGCGGTCGGATCGACCACACAATTGCAGTCGCGTTCCAGCGAACTCAAGCCGCCCATAAGAAATACCGTACTAAACGTACACGGGCGTTCACAAAAGTAAAAACTGACGTCTCTCGCATATATCATGTCTATATTTTGATGGCTGATACTGAAATCTATCCTTCTGTTTTCTGCAACCGTCATGAAGTTACCATAAAAAATTCTTGCATCGAATACGGATCCATGTTACACAACAAATCGAAAACTAGAATTTTGAAAGTATGCCGTCTACCTTCTTCTCTGATTGTCAGTGATAAATGATTGTATAGTTTGATGGCCATATAGCGTGGACCTCTTTTTGTATTTCTCAGTCTATGTTTAGGAAGAACGAGGTTCGAATTGTTTCTAGTATAGTATTCGTGAATGTTTTTATGAATAATGCATTTTTTTTTGTTGTCATAAACGAAAATAATACAAACATAAATATAGATTCCATATAAAGTAAGTAATTTATTACTTTTACTGTTAAGTTCATGTTAAGCATGTTCTTTATTATACGTTTTTGCATAATGAAAATGCGTTCCAAGTTAGTGCTTCCACCCCAGAACATAACTCCGTATTTGAGGAAAGGATATACGATTCCATAGTATGCTGTTTTTAGTGCAGCAGTGACTTCTCAAAATTCTAATTGCATAACATTTGCTGGCCAGTTTTTTTGCAAGATGCTCAATATGAACGTCAAAGTTTAATTTGTCATCTAGATAGACCCCTAACATTTTTGTGCATGATGAAGAATTCAACTTTTCAGGGCCCATGTTCACATACTCTGGAATAATGATGGAAGTATTAACTGTTCTGAAAACTATACAATTAGTTTTGGCTGTATTTAAAGGAAGTTCATTTTGAATGAAATATGTTGAGGATGTAAAAGCAATATTCAATACATCGCTTTCCAAATTCATATGACAGTCAAGAGACAAGATTGGAATCATCAGCATAACTGACAAGTTTGGTGCTAGTATTTTTAAAAATTTCCGAACATCGAAAAAATGTTGGAGATTTGTCTCTCTTCAATATATATATTCACGGAAAGTGTTCAAGTGACTTGGCACATTTGATTCCACCAAGAGCGGTACATATCACAAATACATTGGAGTTTAATGTATGAGTTTGAAAATGTCCTTCTACGACGAAACTGCAGTAACGTTAGTTGCCAACGTCAATCTTCGGACAAAAAATATGATCCATATTCCCGTACACAATAAAATTTTCGAAAGGTTTAACGTATTCTAAAAACACTTTATTGTGTGATTTTCACTAAACAGTTTTACAAAAACGCAACACGTGTTTCGCCATACAATGGCATCCTTATGGCGTGTCTTAATAACTCAGTTATTACGACACGCCATTAAGACACGCCATAACGTGCTTAAAGAATACGTAAGTTATAAATTTTCGTCAAGTATCAGCCGATTCCATCATATATTTTTAAAGGTCATTTACCTACCAGATATCTCTTCATGGACATCTCCTGGATGTTCCCGATTTCTCTACTTCAATTCACTTTCAAAAAATGACAAAAAACATTTGTTTGAGAAGCAATGAAATCAGATTTTTTATAAAATATTTCCTTAATCATATTTGAGTTATATTTACATCCTGGTGTAACTATAGCTACAATGTTTAATAATTTTCGTTGTAATTTATGTGGAAGAATTGGTGTTGAGACCAAGCATAATCCATTTATTCACCTCGTTAAATCTGAATCTGTACCTAATCTGAAGGATATTTTATGTTATGGTGAATAATAAATCATTATTATTTTTATTATTATTAATAAAAGTGGTAAAACGCATAAAAAAGTTTAAGTTCTCCATCATCCATCAAATTATTGAAGAATTGCATTTGATTTTTTCATATCTAACCAATTTCTGTTTATTTATTCCACGTTTTTCTCTGCAGAAATGTGACGCCGGCCCTCTCTGCGGTTCAGAGTTCAAATACATCGAATTAACAGATGATGACAGACAATTTATTTTGGACCTTCATAATAATTTGAGAAATGAAATTGCATCAGGTCAACACTTATCACCTCCTGCTGCCAACATGAATGCTCTGGTGAGTGATCGAAAACAAAAAATTTATTGAAAAAATTCAATAAAAATATATGCTTCAGTGTCACTATTTTTATTCGGGTTTGAAGGCCGTAGATTTTTGGAATTTTTTCGTTGGCGCTAGTGGCTACCTTCTTCGGAGGTCCATACATGTTGAGTTTATCTCTGAAGACTGGTGTTGAGAAAAGTGTTTTTTATAGATTTATTATATACCTACCACAGGTT